CTGGGTAGGTCTCCCAAACCCCAGGAAACAAAAGTTTAAAAAAAAAAAAAGAGAGAAACCAAGAAAAACCAGTGTTTTTAAAAACAAAATCCCCTTGCATATGGCAAAGGAAGATGATTAGGGTGATGGGACACCTGAAGAATGGGATGCCATAGCAGCTCTTCATCTGATCGAGGGTTACTATCCCGGATTTGTGAGGCATTCAGAAGCAACACAAGTGAACCAGTGGGAAAAATGGGCAAATGTTCTAGAGACTTCTCAAAAGATGAGTATAAACAGCTGAGAACAAAGGAGTGCTCCTGCCATTAATCACTAGGGGGTACAAGTCAAAACTGCACGATAACCTGGTCTAGACAGGATGGCTGTTCTTTGGAAATACACACACCCCGTAGCTGGGTGTGGTAATCCCAGAACTCCGAAGGTGGAAGGAGGAGGATCAGGTCAACCCCAGCTCCCTGGTGAGTTTAAGGTCAGTCTCAACTACAGAAGACCCTGTCAAAAAACGAATGCTGGTGGATGTGAAGGAAAAGGAAACAGTTGGAGTGTAAACTAGGACAGCCACTGTGGACAGCGGCTTCTCAGAAAACGGAAAATAGGGTGACAGTACAATCCAGCCGAGTGCCTACGTGAAGGGAATGAAGTAGCATCCAGCAGAGACATGCCCATTTGTGGGTGGCTGGTGGTTGATTGGTTGGCTTTTGGTTTTTCTGAGACATGTCTCCCTGTAGCCCCTGCTGGCTTGGAGCTTGCTATGTAGATCAGACTGACCTTGATCTCACAGAGATCCACCTGCTTCTGCCTCCCGAGTGCTGGGATTAAAGACCTGTGACACCACACGTGGCCTTTTTGAAAAAATAAATTTATTTTTATTTATGTGTATGTGTGCCCAGGAAGGCCAGAAGAGGGCATCGGATCCCCTGGAGCTGGAGTTACAGGCTATTAAGCCACCTGACATGGGTGATAGGAACTGACCTCAGGTCCTCTGGAAGAGCAGCAAGTGCCCTTAACCATGAATTCATCTCTCCAGCCTTCTGCCTTGTGTTTTAAAATTACTTTGGTTTGGCCAGGAGTGGTGGCGCACGCCTTTAATCCCAGCACTCGAGAGGCAGAGGCAGGCAGATCTCTGTGAGTTCAAGGCCAGCCTGATCTACATAGTGAGTTCCAGGACAGCTGGGGCTACAGGAAGACCCTGTCTCAAAAAGACAAAAAAAAAAAAAAAAATTTGGTCTGTGTGTATGTATATGCCTACGAGTACCTGCCTGCTGTGGTGTGCATGTGGGAGTCAGGTTCTCTCCCACCATCATGTGGGTCCTGGGCATCAAACTCAAGGCATCAGGCTTGGTGCCAAGCACGTTTATCTGCTGAGCCATCTCACTGGCCCTTCATACATTTATTATGGCATTTTTCACAATGGCCAAAATAACAACTGGCCTAGTGCCCACCAAGGGTGGCTGCATAAGGGTGTGGTGTAGATACACGGTAGAGTATTCAGCTGTGAAGAACAGATGACATCATTTGTAGCATAGTAGATGGGACAGCTGGAAGACATTAGTTAAATGATCCATTGTGGTACGTTCTCTCTCACACTTGGAAGTTAAGAAAAAGACTGGAGAGTAGAATGATTGTTGACTAGAGGTTGGGAAGGGCTTGGAGAAGGGGAGAGGGTGGACAAAGGGGAATTGAATGTGACCGGTACATGTTGTATTTGTTCAGATACTGCACTGAGCTGCATTAATATGTACTTTTTTTTTTTTTTTTTTGGTCTTTTCGAGATGGTCTCCCTGTAGCCCCAGCTGTCCTGGAACTCACTATGTAGACCAGGCTGGCCTTGAACTCACAGAGATCCGCCTGCCTCGCCTCCCAAGTGCTGGGATTAAAGGCGTGCGCCACCACACCCGGTCCTAATATGTACATTTTAAATCCAAAGGATACTGGGCTTTGATCTCAAAACATGCACCAGTGGCTTGTGCACTACACACACACACACACACACAAATACATGCACGTGTATATATATGAAATATCTTTTATTTAAATATTTTTATGTGTATGAATGTATTGCCTGCATGTATGTAAGTGCACCTGTGTTGTGCAATTCCCATGGAGGTCAGAAGTCAGAAGAGGGTGTTGGATCCCTTGGAACTGGAGTTATGGACAGTGATTAGCCGCCATGTGGGTGCTGGGAATTGAACCTGGGTCCTCTAAAAGAGCAGCCAGTGTTCTTAACCACTGAGCCATCTTTCTAGCCCCTTTTGTGTTTTTGAGACAGGGTCTTACTATGTAACTTTGGCTGACATAGACCAAGCTAAAAAGACAGATCTGGGTTCGTCTGCCTCCCTAGTGCTTTGATTAAAGGTGTGCACCATCACGTGCAATCCAGGATACTTTCTACAGTGCATTTCATCTAAAGCTTAGGGATACATTCTGTATGCAGATATGGCTTCTGAGCATAGGCAAGAGTCAGGATGGGAGCTTGCTTTGACTAAATGACACAGATGTTATGTTCCAGCCTCTGCAGACTGGAAATGAGATCAGTGTCAGCAGCACCACCTTGAATTCAATGCAAGCTTACTAGAATTCAGCAATAAGAGTTCTAGTAACTGAATTCTAGTAACTGGAAAGGAAACTAGAGGAGGACAGGAGGGCCGAGGACAGAGCTCAGTTGGAGAGCACTTGCCTAGCACCATGAAGCCCCGGGTTTGATCCCCAGCACCACATAAGCTGGATGTGGTGATGCATGCTTATAAGCCCAGCATTTAGGACTTCAAGGTAGGAGGATCAGAAGTTCAAGATCATCCGTGGCTGCATATTGAGAGCAGTGGAGGATACATGAGACCTTGTCTCAAAAAATGAGAGTGGGAGCTGGAGAAACGGCTCAGCAGTCGAAAGTATTTGCTACTCTTAGAAGAGGGCCAGAGTTCAGATCCCCCACCTACATCCAGTAGCTCACAACCACCTATAACTTCAGTTCCAGGGATCAAACACTCTTGGCCTAAGCAGGCACCTACACACACAAGCACATAAACTCAGAGTCATGAACATAAAAAAAAAAAAATTAAGGGGATGGGGATTTAGCTCAGTGGTAGAATGCTTGCCTAGCAAGCACAAGGCCCTGGGTTCGGTCCTCAGCTCTGGAAAAAAAATTTTTTTTAACATGACCAAAGATTTCTCTGGAGATAGTTGTAAAAACTAGTAAGTCCAAGCAGGGAAGCTCAGCTTTGCTGCCCGTCAGGCCGGTGTCCACAGTAGCACACTGAGATGCCTGTCCAGTGGTGCACACTTGCCACCAGTTGAAGCATGAAGAGGAGGGCTGGGCGTGTGGTTCAGTGGTGGGGCACTTGCATGGCCCTGCATTGGATCCCCAGTACTGAGAAACAAAATAATGAGGTGCACTTTACATCAAGTACCAAAAGCTGAAAACAACAAAGTTCTGGAGAAATTACAATGTTTGTGCCCTTCTGGTGGTGTCTGAAATGGTGTAGCAATTGTGGAGAACAGTATGTCAGTTTCTCAGAATGGTAAACAATGACCACATGACCCAGTAATCCCACACTGGTATAAATTCAAGATTGAAAATGGAGAACCAAAATGATATTTGGCTGTGCACATCCAACAGCAACACTGTTCATCAGGACACATGGAATGCCTTCTGGGCACTGTGGACGCGTGGACAGCATGACAAGCTGGTCAGCTAGAGCAGACAGTGCCTGGTCCAGGATGTGAGGTCCCTGATGAAGTTAGATCCAGAGATGGAAACAGATTGCTAGGTGTAAGCCTGGGCAGTGGAAGTAATACTTAATGACAAGAGTTCCTGTTTGGAATGACTAGACACTGGAAGATATTACCTGGTGATATGCAGTGTTGCGAATGTAGTTAATACCATGGAATTGTAAACTTAGAAATAGTTAAAGCACCAAATTCTATTTCTTATATTAACCTACACAACAAAAACAAACCCAGATTTATGTGTCTAGAAAGCTATAAAGTTTCCAAACGTGCACAGAAATGGAGCGAACAGAACACTGAAGTCCTGCATCCCTGAGCCCTGGCCTCAGGCAGTTAACAGTCCTCCCCTCCCCTCTGACGTAGAACACTGCCTGCCATTTCATCTTTAGCCAATCCAGGGAGCACAGGGTTGCCTAAACCACTTCTGCATCAACACGCCAACATGGCCATTCTTTGGTCTGTCTCTAATTGCACAGGTCTCCACAGCTGCCTATTTGAATTGGGATCATTTGTCTTGTAGGAGTTCCCACATTCTGCATTGTGCAAATTCAAGGAAGTGGTTAACAGTTTGTTTCCTGTGTTTCCTAGACTAGCCTTGGTGAGATTTCCAGTGAGGTCTTCTGCATCTTTCTGAGTAGCTGGTGACCTTGTGCTCAGGGTAGCTGGTCTTGCCTGGCCTTCGGACCTGAGGCCTTTTAAAAAGCAGGGAGGGTTGAGTGAGGCAAGCAGAGACCCACAGCCAGCAGGGAGCTGCTCTCAGTTTCACTGCGCAGAGCCATCTTGGTGACAACACCAAGCATCTGTCTGACTACAGGACCTTCACGAGCATGTGTGCAAGGGCCAGCCACTGACCTGAGCAGGGTATGTAACACATCTTTAATCCTAGCACTCTGGAGGCAGAGGCAGGCTGAGCTCTGAGTTTCAGGCCACCCCAGTGACCAGGGTCTCCAGTCTCAAGAGAAAAAAGGGAAAGGTGAAAATAGTGTATTTTATGTTATTTTTTTAACCACAAAAGAGGCCACTTTGACCACATGCTCAGCAGACATTGTGAGATTTATTGGAAAAGTCAAAAAAAATGTGTGTACGGTGTAAGTCTATTGGGGAAAGATTTAAGATCTTTATCACATACCTCCACATGGTGTGACATTTGAGATAGCAGTGCTCACTCTTTGAAATAGTTTACATGGTTCCTAATCTCAGCCTTTTGTGCATTTGAAAATAGCAGCGTTCACAAGTATGAGCTCAGTGCATTAATAATCACTTCTTGACTTTAGGAATTTGAGAGCGTGTTTTGCGGTAAGACTGGCAGAAGGCTAAAGCTGACCAGACCTGACTCCCTGGTGACCTGCCCTACACAGGGCAGTCTGCAGAGCAGCCCCGCCATGGAGATCAAGTGACTGGACTGACCCAGAACCTGGGAGAAAACTGCCGTCCTGCGGCATAGTGCATGTGCCTGCCATCCTGGAGCTCAGCTTTGCTGGTCCTTGAGGGGGACATGGCTCCAGTTGGTGGGACTCCAGCAGGGACTTTGAGAGCACATTTTGTCAAAGTATCCAGAAAAAATGCCCACTAATGTCCAGATGACCCTTGGGGATGAAGACATCTTGATAATGAGTAATTTTTCAATTACCTGTCCGACACCATCATGTGTTCTTAACATGATAACTTAAAAAAAATTAACATCCTTGGTACTTTCTTTAGTCCTAATACTAAAGAAAACGTTACTTTTTACTTTGTTTACACTTTCAGTGTGCCCCTTCAGCAGCTGGAAGGAGGTAAATTGTTCTTAACTAGGTTTGCAAACTTTATTTCATTTGTTCTCCTGCCCCTCCCCATCCCCAGTGTCACGGTGTCTGCATTGGGAAATGCAGCGCCTTTTAAAAACTTTTGCTAAGGATTTTCCAGACTTCTTTCAAAGCTTCTTTCGTCCTTTATGGACACTTTGTCAGTAGGTTGTTTCAATGCCCACATTTCCATATTGTGAGTCATTGCTTTACGTGAATAAACTGTTTGGAATGGAGTTTTCCAGTGAGTAGCTTTATTTACTGTGACAGACTGGTGCAGTGCAGTTCTTCAGTAAATACTGGGTGGCCAGGGATGTTAAGTTGTTACACAGGCAGAGACTGTACATTAAACACTTCACCTTTGTTACACTGTAGCCAGGTGCTAACCCAAGACATAGCAGGCAATTTTATTGGGAGTCTTTATACGAATGCTGTGTAAACAAGTTGCCGAGTGTTTTGTTTTTTTATCTCATGTAGTTGTACAACTTTTAGATACACCTCCCCAATCCCTCCCAGGTACTGGGTTTAATCTCATCCCTAGGGTCTGTGTCTGAGGTATGCTGTCACAGATGAACTGGCTGTTGTAAATACTGCAGATGGGACAGAGAGCGGTGCCCGGTAGATGTTCTGAGGGCCCGTGCATGGGCAGCCACCATCAAGAGTCAAGAGCAGGCCAGAAAGGACTTGTAGACTCTCTGGCTGTAGCCAGCCATACCGTCCAGTGCTGGTAGCCATGTGGCTGATCCCATGCTGTCCTGCTGGAGTGCATTATTGAAGTCACCGTCATTTCCTACTTAAGTTCTCTTTATGAGCTCCGGGGACCTGACTTTTCCCCACCCCCTCCTAACACAGCTCCTTGGCAGGCTGAGGTGTCACAAATCCCTGGGGTCCCCTGAGCTCCAACAGCTCCAGGAAGGCCAGGATCACCAGGAAGGCCAGGCTCGCCATGAGTGCCGTCTCGACCATCTTTGCTGATGCCAGGCACACCTTGAGGCCCTAGGGACCAGGAGAGTACAATGAGGGGCCAGAGAACCCCAAAGCAGTCATTCACATTTACATGGCACAGCATCCCCCCCCCCCATTGTGCACTAGCTTGTTTCTGAGCTCTGCAAGAGGTTAGGGTGGAGAGCCTGGGCATAGAGCCCACAAGATGGGGCAAAGCAGGGGACCAGGTAGGAGGTGGGCAGGGACAGGTGAGGCTACACCTAGGTTGGTATCCTGAGGACACAGTACACTCTGTTCTCAGAAGGGCTCGTGAGGTCCGTGTGAAGAGCAGATTCAGAGTTGGCAAGAGGAGGCAGTTGGTCTTGGCTGGGGGCTGTGACTAGGGGTGGGTGATGGGCAGTCAGCCACCTCAGTGGTGGGATATAGCCATTTACTAACAAGAGATGATCCAATGTGGTAGCACAGCTGGGAGGCTGCAGTTCTTGGTGATACCTAAGGCCACACCGGTGGACAGGCAGCCTGGGATTGCCAGCAGGTCCTGCCAGAGCCAGGACAGCCAAGGAGCCTCATAGGTTGTGCCTCATGAGGGGAGGGTGAGTCTGGGGGGGTAACTGTGCCTGCAGAGGAGGGGGATTTGCCTCATGAAGAAGAGGAGGTTCACCTCACACAGAAGGGAGTGCCTCAGGTAGGGGGTGTCAGTGTGGATGGGGTGCACCTCAAGGTATGTGCCTCAGAGGAGACTGGAAAGCACAGCCTGGTCTATCTGCCCCCAGGACTGGAGGAGCCTGGAGAGGAGTACTCCGGGATCGGTGAATGTAGAGATAGATCCCTAAGTGGGTCTGTGAATGGTGAGATCTCATTCTCTTCCCTTGCCCTCCTCATTGCTGAGAAGACAGGTGTCTCCACCCTGTCTAGTCCACATTGTGGTTTTTTTTTTTTGGGGGGGTCTTTTTGAGACGGTCTCCTTGTAGCCCCTGCTGCCTTGGAACTCACTATGTAGACAGGTTGGCCTTGAACTCACAGGGATCTGCCTGACTCTACCTTCCAAGTGCTGGGATTAAAGGTATGTGCCAACCACACCCAGAAGATTATTCATTTTTTACATTAAAAAATTGCAACAGTTGCTTGCATGTGGTGATATGCACCTTCATCCAGAGGCAGGCAGAGCTCTGTGAGTTCAAGGCCAGCCTGGTCTACAGAGCAAGTTCCAGGTCAGCTAGGGCTACGTACTGCTGTCTCAAAACAAACAAACAAAAAAACCCAAAACAAAAAAACTGGACAAAGTTAAAAAAAAAATTGAAACATTCAGTGTGTATGTGGTCAGGTAAGAGAAGGTATGGAAATTTTCTTAGATAGATTCTAAGTATATTTACTAAGAAGTTAACCTAACCTACTTAGTTAAAATTAGATTCAGGAAGGTTATCACTGATTACTACTGGTTATTGAATATATATATGTATGTATTTATATATATACATAAACACACATATATATCAAAGGGATTAGAAAAATAGTTCATAACCCAGTCCTTAATGCTTTGCCAAGCAGAGAACATTTCCTTATAAAGAGCCCCTTCCTACCCCAGTCCTCTCCCATAAGAACCTTGAGGTGACAGTGGCCTACCTTGGAGCCCCTGGTCCCCAGCAGGCCCATCCAGTCCAACGCCTGCTGTGCCCTTGTCTCCTCTGTCGCCCTGGCTTCCTGAAGGGAGAGTGGACACAGGCAGTTAGAACAGCTGTCCGTCCACAGTGACCAGAGCTTGCTGCTATTCTGCATTTTCCTGAAGTGAGGCTGCTCACCAAAGTGTAGCTTAATAGAGTTTGACCAGAGAAACCCACCCCCACCCCCACCCCCACCATATCACTCTGAAGTCATTCCAGATGGAGTCTGTTTTCAAAACATTTATAACTGTGAAACAATCATGTGTTATTTGGTGTTCATAATTTCAGTGATTTTTTATTATCTAAGGGTGCTTTATTTTATTTTTTGAGACAGGTTTGTACTGTGTAGCTGACTGGCCTGAACTCCCTATGTAGACCACGTTAGTCTCAAACTCACAGAGATCTGCCTGCTCTTAACGCTCGTGTGCTGGGATCAAAGGTGTACACCATGACCCATTTTATTTTTATTGAGACATGGTCTCACTCTGTGGCCTAGGTCAGGAGCTCACTTTGCAGCCTTGCTGGTCTCCAATTCATCGTAATCCTCCTGCCTTAAGCTTTCCAAGTGCTGAGATCACAGGTGTGTGCTGTGTGTCTTAAAATATCTCTTATTCGCCGGGCGTGGTGGCGCACGCCTTTAATCCCAGCACTCGGGAGGCAGAGGTAGGCAGATCTCTGTGAGTTCAAGGCCAGCCTGGGCTACATAGTGAGTTCCAGGACAGCTGGGGCTACTGGGAGACCCTGTCTCAAAAAAGACCCTCCAAAAAATCTCTTACTCATATTTTTCAAATATTTAATCTCTGTTTTGGTCACAGTCACACAGGATTGCATGTGCCTCCGTGGTTTAGCATTTACCTGCATGTGTGAGGCCCTAGGCTCAATTCCCAGCACTTCAAAAACCATCAACGGCAGACACATCAGCACTAGTTTTTCAAGTTGAGTTCTAAGATACTGGATGCATTCCAGTTATCCCAGCCCTGCATTCCTCCCAAATTGAACTGGTCCTTACAGGGACAGGCAGCAAGGTAGGTGGCACCTCTGGTGCTTGTCTGTGTCTCCCGGTGTTGGCAAAGGCCATAGCACCTTTGTTTTGCTGTGGTGGCCAGCAAACTGATCAGGCATGCAGCTGTGATTATGGTGCAGGTTAACAGGGTCATTCCTGCTCTTAAGAGCATCATTACACACACTGCCATCAGGGGTAGCACCATGGCCTGCAGCTACTTGAGGCCTAGAGAGGCCTCCCCAGTAGGGCAATGGGGCTTTAACTGGTCCAAATGGTGGGTTTCACCAGAGGACTCAGCACTGTGATTTCAGGGAAGGGAAAAGAGGTAGAACAGCGGCAGTGGCCTGTGCCTGGGGCCTTGAGGACGCCTAATCAGGTATGTGTGTTCTGCACAGCAGGCCTATGGCATCCTGATGCCCAGAGTGGGAGGCACTCAGTGTGTCACGCAGCATGCGCTCTGTATGGCATGCCTACCTCCAAACAGAAAACAGGTTTGTGTGGCCGTCCCAGAGAGCTTTCTGGGGCCTACGTGTCTCTGCAGTGGCCTTTAGTGTCAGACTGCTTGTCTCAGAGCATCTGTACAGACTAATAATGCTCTGAATTTTATTTTCAGTCTAGAAGGAATTCAGATCCCTGTTTGGAGGAAATCTTATGTTTTTAAAGATGGCAGTCGCTCATACGGCACCAGACACACAACCAGAGGAGGCCACAGCCTGGCGTAGAGAACAGTCATTTAAGTTCATATGGGACGAATGCTGCACCGATTCAGACAAGGTCACTTCTGCGTTTGCACTCAGCACCGAAATTCCTCAGCCTCCAAGCATCTTAAAAACAGGTGAAATGGTGCAGGTTAGCCCGAGTCCATCCACCTGCACAAATTTAAACTTAACCCCGGAGATGACCAGGCACGGACCTGGCGTAGAGAACAGTCATTTAAGTTCATATGGGACGAATGCTGCACCGATTCAGACAAGGTCACTTCTGCGTTTGCACTCAGCACCGAAATTCCTCAGCCTCCAAGCATCTTAAAAACAGGTGAAATGGTGCAGGTTAGCCCGAGTCCATCCACCTGCACAAATTTAAACTTAACCCCGGAGATGACCAGGCACGGACATGCACAGCATCGCTTCCCATTGAGACCTGTGTGCTGGGGGGGGG